CTTCTTTACTTATCCGTGATGTTCTTCTCATGCCCCGGGCCTTGGCACATGTTCTCCTCTGCCTAGGATGCTCTTCCTTCTTTTCTGGCTTTGTCACCTCCTCAGGGAAGCACCCCTTGATTTCTCTACCCTGCATGCTCTGGCCCATTGCCACCTCGCCAGTCCCATTGCATTTCACTCTTCACCTTGCCCGCCCTGCCCCCACCTGTACTGACCACCTTCTGTTTCTCAAGCATGCCAAGCTGTCTCCCGCCGTGGGCTTTGCACATGCTGTTCCCTCTGCCTGGAACATGCTCTTCCTCCTGTCACGGTCGGCTCACCCTCTAGACAGCAGCTCAGATGTCATCTCTGGGAGGCCTTTGCTACTGACCCAATAAATGTAGTCATCCTCTCACAAATATATATACTTTTTAAATAACCTGTTTCTTTTCTTCACAGTGTTTATCACAATTTGAATCATGTTTGTGCACAGTTTTTCCATTTATGCAGATAGGACATAGGCTTTGGGCACTTCCTCTCCCCACCCCACCCCCAGATAATTTCCATTGTATTTGTCTAATAAAGTAGTTCTCAGAGGGGGAGTCTTCCCCCCAGGAGACATTTGCCAACGTCCGATCCCTTGTGGTTGTCACAGGCTGGTGGGGAGGGAAGGCTCCTGGCATCCAGCAGGTAGGGGCCAGAGGTGCTAATGAAGCATTTGCGGTGTATGTTAGGCCCTTCCCCCAACAAGGAATTATCCAGACCAAAACGTCAGCCCTGTGCAGGTGGAGAAACTGTTATCTAAGATCATCAGAGAGGACAGAGTGAGACCGAGAGGAGAGAATGAGGTTTTCCCAAACCATGAGCAACTTAGAAAATGATGCGCATGAACCCTGAATCTCAAATGTCATCTAAATGCGAAAGGAGTAAAAAAAGGTACAGGCATTGGACTCTTGGTGTTGGATGGGGGAGTGGCAGCCTCTTACAAATCACTAGTTGCTTTGCCTTTTGGTGATCATTGGTAGTTTTTTCAAGATTTAATTTTAATAACTGAGAGGTAGTGATTTACAAAAAGGCATTAAATTTCTTAGGTTGTATCCTAAGGTGAATAAGAAATGTGTATCTATAGTTATATATTTCCTTACTGTGTCATTACTAGTAGGAAAAGTCGTGAGCTATTTTGAAGGAGTATGTATGAATTATTCTTGCCTACACGTTGTCATAGTGAATTTATTAGTCCATTCCAATTTATGTTTAATTAAAGTAATGTTTAAAAGAATCACACAGTAATTTTCAAAGATATGAACATGAACATTGGGTTCTGTGGGCGCGGCACATAGTAGGTGCTCCATAAATATCTTTAAACTGAGCTGACATCTTTCTCTTTTTAACTGGAAATCCTAAGATCAATGGAAACATCTCTTAAAGCTTACTTTTTTTTGGAAAATGATTGGCGCTGTTAAGGATTGCCAAGCTCCCCAAGGCCGTTGTTTGTAATCGGTAGGCCCAAAGGAACTTGAGTCTCTGAAGAGACATTTTTACCATTAATCAATCTCCTTACACTGTAATCTTCACACATAGGAAGTTGTTATCAGACAGCTACGGACCATTGTAAACACTGGCACATTTTGATGCGTCGATTCTGTGGTTCAGAGGTTACTTGGAAATATTTTCGAGGCCCTTGGCGTATTGACCTATGAACAATAAGAAAGATAGGACTGGCACTTTGGGGGATTTGAAAACTACTTGGATGGCTCCTAGTTCTGGCAAGGCCTTGGCCCTACCACCAGTATTTTTCGGGTGGTTTTCACTCTGTCTCTGCTATAGAGGAACCCTATTTTTTTTTTAGTGAAATTTTATGAGAAATCTCAATTTATAAAACAAATGAAAATGGAGTTACGTTCATGAAAGGGAGATTGTGGCGATGGAGAGCCCACAGGTTCATTTGTGTCTCTCTGCCTCCACCACGGAGGCACCATGGCTCCCTGGAGCAGGTTTTCCACCGAGCGTCACCGGCTAGCTCTGAGGCCTGGAGAACCACTCTGATCTAAGAACGGGTATAATAGCATCTAATTCTGGAGGCTTTTTAGAGTGATGACTTGGATATGCATGTGAGGCTTAGCACAAAGCCTGGCGCATGGTAACATCCCGTAAGTGTTCCTTTTTAGGACAGCGAACCGAACCCTGGCCTTTTGTCAACAGCAGCTCACAAGCGACCAGGTCCACAGTAAAGGCATAAATTGCAGGTGAACTTTAGGGAGCACTGCTGAAACCAGGAAAGCTTACTTCTTGACCTTTGTTTGACTTTGAGACCCATCTCAAGTGCTCGAGGTGTGGCATGAGTCAATCAGGTAACTGTACATGCTGATTTTCATAGGCACTGGGGTCAAGAGAACAGAATAAGTCCCCTATTAGTGAGTAAGCTCAGCAAATCATATTGTCCTATTTTATGGCCAGGCCAGTTAACTAATTTATTAGTATACAGTCAGAATTAAAATGCCTAATTTAAATGTACTCTGGACATTGTTGGAAGATATTTTAAAACATTTAGATTTAAATAAGTCTGAAAGGACTTCACGGAGCATTCTAAAAGGTGTCTAAGGAGAGTAAAATTAAGGATGAGCTAGCTTCCTTCCCAGGAGTTAGGGCTTGGAAGGGACGTAAGCAAGCAAAGGTAGAACTTGAAAGGAAGGTGGAGGAGTGGACAGACAGCTCACATTTTTTAAGAGAAATAGCTAAATGTGCGGTAGAGTGCTCATAAAACATTAGGACAAATCGATAATGTAAAATCCACTTTCGTGATGCCTGTCTGCAGAGGGACTCCCGCCAACAGAATGTAGTATTTTAAGAACAGTAGAAGAGAATATTGTCAGTGAGGCGAGGAGTGGGATTGTTCTGATACATGCGACACATTTCTCCAGGATTCCACAGGCAATGGATAACTCGGAAATTGTTAAGAAATGGAAAATTTATACTTTTACTATTCAACCCTAGCAACGAGCGACAGACTGTCTTAACTATTTGTAGATCTTTTTTTATTAGATTTCCCAGACTAAATCAGTTTATTTATTTTGTTTAGTGTTTTTATAAATGGAAAAAGTTAAGATGTTCCCCTCCTTCCTCCTCTAGCCCTAAGCCCTTATAATGCAACCATTGTTCAGAGTTGGCATATATACTTTTATTTTTTCATTTTAAAATTATTGCACAACTTTTTTCACTTCCCATCTCTGGGACATCACCACTCTAGGTCAGTGGTTCTTGAATAAGAGGAATTTTGCTCCACCCTGGGGGGGAGGGGTTGGCACTATCTAGAGACATTTTTTATTGTGAATGGTGAGGAGAGGGAGGCAGGTTGCTACTGGCATCAGGGAGATAGAGGCCAGGTTTACTATAAACATCCTACAATGCAAAGGACAGTTCCCACAACAAAGACTTACCTGGCCCAATATGTTAAGAGTCAAGATTGAGGAACTCTGCTCTAGGTCAGTCCATGCAAATCTAATTCATTATTTTAAAAAGTTTCATAATACTTTGTGGTGTGGTGTGGTAGAGCATAATTTATTTAACTAGTTTCCCATTGATAGCTATGGCTTCTTATTTAGTGGCATTTCTATACTTAATATTACAAAACCAAGTGTTCCAGTTTAGTTATTTACAACTCATCTGTTTCTTTAAAGAGCCAAAATCTATCCTTATCAAAAAGACTCAAAAGAGGAACAGTTAAGAATTCAGAGGCTTGTGTATAAAATTAGATTCTGGGTCACTGTGAGTCAAGAGAATTTGGTTTCAATAAAATCACAGGTTCACTTTAAATGACAAGCCTTAAAGTAAGTCATTTGAAAAGCATGTCTTCATTTTTTGATTCTTTGGAATTAAAAGAGCAACAACTCCAAAGCCTTTCGTGTGACTGCACAAAACCGAAGGCCGATTTCGAAGGGACGGCAGTAACTTTCTGAGAAGCGAATTCTGACGATCTGTGTACCTCCTTTTTATACGTGCTTCTAAAAATCCATTAGTACATTAAATCATGGTGGGCTGAACAAAAGAAAACAAAGCAGGTTTAAGATGAAAAAAGGGATATCCAATCCTAAAGACGGCGAATGACTTCCAGATGCTGTGGACGTTGTAATTCACAATGGGACTGGCCCTCTGGTTAACCACAGAGGGCTTTGCAGCGAGGGTGCCCCGAAGCAAACAGATGTTCGCTGTGTGCTGGTCCAGCCCGTGCTCGGCACATGTCAGATGCATTCCTGGAAGGAGAGGGGAGAGAGCGAATTCCCCTCGAGGAGCTGGGCGAAGCTCGGACCCAGAGCCTGTGAGAGGAGGGCGGCCCGCGGGGCGAAGGCTGGGCCTCTGCGGCCTCCGCCCCTTTCCTTGTCAGCTCCCTCAGGAAGAAGCAGGAGTTGGAAGGTTATCGTTCCTTTGCTGATAGTCTTTTAAAAGTTATTTTTTAAGTCATCCAGTGACACTCCTGTAGAGCAGTAGATCAGGCTAGATAATTTGGGCTTTGTGCTTTTGACCTTTCAGTGTTTTGGCATGAGTCCTTACAGTTAATAAACTAAGAGAGACCATCATCATGGGATAGGCCAGACTTATCAAAATTGCAACAGGTTAAATCTATCTGAGAAACTGCAAACATTGTAAGTTCATTGCTTTTTTTTATTGAGGTATAATTGACATATATCATTATTAATAGTTTCAGGTGTACATCATAATGATTCAATATTTGTGTGCATTACAAAGTGATCACCACAGTGAGTGTAGTTAACATCTGTCACCATCTGTAGTTATAAAATTTTTTTTCTGTGATGAGGATTTTTAAGATCTGCTCTCTTAGCAACTTTTTCAAACATGCAATGCAGTGTTAACTAGAGTCCCCATGCTGTCCCTTACATCCCGATGACTTATTTTATAGCTGGAAGTTGGTACCTTTTGCCCCCCTTCACCCATTTCGCCCACCCCCTCCTTCCCATAAGTGCCCTGACATTTGGGAAAACTAAACGTTGCTGTTGCCGTTTTAGGATCAGAGCCACACACAGGTGTCACAGTACCGGCAGGATCCGTCCTTGATCATGAGGTCCATCGTCCACATGACTGATGCTGCGCGCTCTGGGATCCTGCCTCCCGCCCAGCTCACCACCATCAACCAGTCCCAGCTCAGTGCCCAGCTGGGGTTGAATTTGGGGGGAACCAGTTTGCCCCACACGTCTCCTTCCCCTCCAGCGAGCAAATCGGCCACTCCCTCCCCTTCCAGCTCCATCAACGAAGAGGATGGTGATGAGTCCAGCAGGGTAAGTTAACTGCCAGGCACAGAACCGCCAGGCACCGGCACCACCCCGTGCTCGTGGCGTTGGGCGTCGTTCATGGTTTCTCTTCATGGATTTGGAGTAGCGTTTCAATTTATGATGATTAATTTTTTTAATTTCTTTTTTTTTAACTCTTTGACTTATTTTCTGAGTAACATGTACTCAAGCAGAAATTGGGAGATCTGGCCTCTCCCACTGGCTGGAAGGCATTGAGCAGGGCATGGGACTCTGGTAGGCCCGATTTTCTGACTCTGCTGGAGGGAGGGCTTGCAGTAGACTTGTGTTCTAAACGTGCTCTGGTTCTACGTTAATGTCCATGTGAGTGAGTTTCATCCAGTTAGTTGGCTGAGTTGCTGCCCCATTTGACAACCTTGTACCTTCAATGGTGTTTATCACTTATTCAGTTCTAATTGTCTAATATCTTTGTGTTTGCCATGGAAAGTGTATATGATTTAAATACACAGAGTTTGAAATACAAATTTAGTTGCAGTCATGGCGTTTCTGAATGCCTAGAAAAGTGTTCTGTTTTATTAAATTTATTTATTCTAGGTCCACAATTACTCATTTCTTACTCATTAATTATGTTGTACACCTACTGTGTGCTTGGAATTTTACTTGGTACTGATAGGCTCTGGTGATATAAAGATTTATAAGAGTTACTACCCATGGGACTCCCCACTGGGGGTGAAGAGCCCCGTTGAAAAGGAGCTACAGATGCGATTAGTGGTATAATTGATGGATCCGGTGTCCTGACATTGTAATCCTTTCTGCGTGAGCGAGCTACCTGAGGAACACGTTACTGGGGAGGTGGTCTCTGAGTTAGGTCTAAGAGGATACCTCAAAGTTGTGAGGCAGAAGAGGCCAGCGTTCTGGTGGATGGAGAAATGGAAGCACAGTTGAACTTGTGGGTGTCATGAACGGTGTGATATGGAGGAGGAAAGGTTGGAGTTGGAGAAAGAAATGACTGAAATGTGGCAGCCTTTCCCCTGTTGGTAGCTGAGAGCTGCTGAATTATTTGTATAGTGGGATGGCAAAAGCAAGCCTATGCTTGAGAAAGATAACTTAGGCTATATATAGAACGCATTACGGCGGAGGGACCCGAGGAAAGGAAACCAACTAGAAGACCGTTTTAATGAAGTGTTTCATTTTAGCAAAGGAAGGAGAGGACAGGAGATGGCGGGTTAGTGAGTCATTGAAGGGGGTAATCATCGAGGTTTGATGACCCACCGGAATTTGAAGGAAGAAAAAGATAAATTGGGTTTTAGTTTGGGAGCCAACATGGATATCACGTGAGAGGATATTATCCCAGAAGGAGAGGAGCGTTGTTCTTTCCCCATGGGGAAGATGAGAGTTTGGCATGTGATGGGTTGAACTCGAGGCGCTTATAGTTGAGTCTAGAACTCAGTTCATTGGAAGTACAACTATAGACTTGGGACTGTCAGCACATAAGCGTGAAGACATGGAAATAATCAGAATTTCTCAGAGTGTCCAAGGGGCAAGTCAAGGCCAGAACCCTGAGCATCACTTATTTTTAAGTAGCAAGTGGAAGAAGAGAATCTAGAGAAGACTGAGAGGCTGAGAGGCTGTGGGTAGAGTTCTGTTGTGGGGATGTCAAGAAGGAAGGCTTGTCGGTAGCGCCCTGTTGGCACCCACTGGACACGGGGCGGGCAAATGCACTAACAGTCTTTGCTTGCACAAGGACTCCAGCGAGGTGAAGTGAGAAATGACTAAGAAACTCAAGGGGTGTCAGGGTACAGCTAAGTGATAGGTGGTCATTACACAAATCAAATGGACACCTTTCATTTCGCTCACATTTCCACTGATTTTAATACTTACCTCGGTGCCAGTCTGAAATTGTCTTGTCTCCAGAGAGATTTTTCTATGTCTCCTAAGCTTGCTCCATTTTATGCCAGGGTCTAGGTTTTATGTAAAGACAAGAAATCCAGTTTCTCTTTTAAGCAACTTGGCTAAGGAAGGAAGATTAACTTTATCGTTGATTATGTCTCTCTGGGGTAAAGCTATTTCTTCAGCTTTTCCAACCCTTTTGAGTCAACTACAAAAAAGTTCCTTTTGGAGAATTAATTCTGAGCTTTTATTTAAGCTGTGAGATTCTTCATTTCTAGTTTGTTCTTAAAAGGTAACGACGATTAGGGCAAGTCAAGTTTCTCCAAGAAAGACGTTAGAAGTTGCCAGCATTCGAATGTTGTTTTTCAGAGAATGAAATTGAACACCTCTTATTTGGAAAAAGCTACCCTGGAAATTACTTCCATCTTGCCATTGGTCAGAGTATTATTGTTGGCGCAAACAGTGCCACATTTTTTTCCAGGAAAAGAATATAGATGTTTGACTCAATTAGAAAAATCTGTGTGTGTGTGTGTGTGTGTGTGTGTGTGTGTGTGTATATATTTTTTTTTTCTTGTGGCTAAAGTAATATTTTTTTCATTGAAGGAAAATTTGGCTTCAAGTGAAACTCTGTCTCTAAGACATCTGACTCCTCTGCAAGTTCACATTCATTAACTAGAGTTAAACAAGTCTCACTTATTCTGAGAACTTAGAAAAGACTATGAGGTCTCTAAAATTTTGTTGAGTTAATTGTGTGAGTTACTGAAGGTGGCATTCTGGAGGAGAGGTGAAATATAACACTACCTGAAACATGTGAGGTACTTGTACAACGCTTGGATGTGGTTACCGCCCAACTAGTGCAAACAGTAAGTCCACCTGCAAGTAGACTAGCGCTTTCCCAGCGGCTTGAGGCTTCTGCGCTCTCAAAGACACACTGCTTACCCGTTTCCTCCCCAAGAAATTTAGTAATTGGATTAAGTTCCAAATGTCCCTCATTCAGAAAGTAATGACAGTCTTGCACAATTTGAATTAGGATTTAGGACTCAAGGCCATTAAAAGCCAATCTGTTAGTAGCTTGAATCTGTCTCTGTTGATCCTGCCCAAGGCTGGCTTTTAAGGCAGAACTTTGTCAAACATTTCAGAGTTTTTGATGAAGTTAGCTGCAAATTGGTCTTCTGTAGAGCCATATTATAATCTAGGGGGATGAAACAACGTTGCTAAATCATTTTGTCTGCTTCTCTGGTATATAATCTTTGAAATTAGATAGTGGTAGCAGGTGAATCTGGAGGTCGGTGGTTCATGTTGTTGGAGGGCTGTCCCCATATCATGTGTAGGGTTTTGATCCCACAGAGCTTATATTGTGGGCACATGTGAGCATGTGGATGGCAGTGTTGTTCTGGGCAGGCTTATTTACCAGATATAATAGAAATCTTCTTCTCGGTCTTCTTTTTAGCCCTGGTGAGTTTAACATCACTGTTGCTCTAGTACAGGTTTTTAATTTTGTGACTATCAATTTCTTTTCTATCTCATTAAAGGAGTTTTGACATTTTTACATGTCTTGTTGCCCTCTTCTTTATAAAATTACTATTTTAAAAAATTAAGATGACCTTACCCTTATTGTGCAAGTTTAGGGATTGTAGCTAATTTCCATTTGAGTTTCCAGAGACCCGTTGGCAAAGAAACATCCTGGCAAAATAAAAAATCAGCTTCAAAAAAGAAAAAAATCAATTCAGACCCATCCTACATACGGCATGTGACTATGACCGGGGACCTCATTTTAAATACCTGAATATGACCAACATCCTGAATATTATTTAGGTTTACTTCTAAAAGCCCTGAAAATGTAAAATATTTTGTTTACGTGTACATGTGAGGCCTCGAATGTTATATCCAGCATCGCCTGGTACGAAGGGTTCGGCATTTCATTACTCATAACTGCCGTTTAGAGCATATGTTGGAAATACATTGAAGCTGCGCCTGGGTCTCTAATCAGTGTTCTGAGTGCTAATCTGCCGTCCAGCGGGCTCTAAGCACGTCCCCTGCCCTGCGTGGTGGTGATCTGCTGGTGGCGCTTCACAAAACCTCTCGAAGGAACAGTTGCGGACCTGGGTAAGTCTTGCTGCAAACACATCCGAGGCACTGAATTTTCTTCGTGCTTTGCAGGCCATCGGAGAGAAGAGAGCGGCTCCCGATTCTGGCAAGAAGCCCAAGACCCCCAAGAAAAAGAAAAAGAAAGACCCCAACGAGCCCCAGAAGCCAGTGTCAGCATATGCCCTGTTTTTCAGGGACACACAGGCTGCGATTAAAGGTCAAAACCCCAACGCCACCTTCGGAGAGGTCTCCAAAATCGTAGCGTCCATGTGGGACAGCCTGGGAGAGGAACAGAAGCAGGTAAGGCAGAGCTCGGTCGCGGCCGCAGTGCGAAAAAGTGGCCGAGTGTCCCTTGCATCCCCCGTGTCCCTTGCATCCCCCCTGCGTGGGTGGACACGCGCGCTCCCTGCGACCGCTCCCCACGGAGGCCTCGCTCAGCCGGGCGCCGAGCAGCGCGCAAAGCCGCCAGCCCCGGGCGTCTCCAGGGTCGCGGGTTTCTCAGCTCCCGCAAGGCGCGCGGCCCGAACCCGGCCGGGGAGAGCCGCGGGAAATCGCAGGACCCTGCAAGCGTCAACTGTCCACGAGAAGCTCGTCCTTTTACATAACGCGGACCGTTTCCCACCTTTGCAAAGCCACGAGGCCGCCCTGCTTGCCTTTCCTGGGGTCACCTCCCTGCACTCTCCTGTGGTCCCCGGGAGTTTCCAGGCCTTGAGGCCGCTCTGCGTGTCTCATCATTGCCCCGGGCATTTGAAGTTCTGTGCGGGGCTCCTGTGAAAGCCCGGCCCTGTGGGAGGCACTGAGACTGGCGTGTGGGGAGGTACTGCCTTGGGCCTGGTCTCGGCTCCTTCCCCGAGCGACTCCCCCGCAGCGCAGGACAGAAGGGCTTCCCTGGGGGTCAGTCCCACCCTGGCTCCTTGTGTGACACTCCAGGGACCATTAAAAGGGTGAACTTTACAAAGCCTCAGGAGAATAGACCCCCATTAGTCACGACCTAGAATAATTGTTTCAGGATTGGAGAGTGGGAGACCCTTGATTTATTTTTTCTTTACAAATCGTGAAATCATTTTTACCAGCTGGTTTTATTGGGGCGGTGCGACCACAGAAGTTGCCCGTTTGCTTGCAGTGAGCTGAGCGGCCCTGTGCAGCAGACTGATTTTCTCTTCCAGACATGCAACCCTGAGGGTCTGGCTAAGGGCTGCAGCTAAGGCTTCAGCTCCGGAGAGAAACGGTCTAACACCCAGCCACCGGGTCGCTGTTAGATGAAGCCCAAACCGTGTGTGATGTACTGGGAAGTGTAATGGAGCTCACGGGTCCCACTAGTGGAAATCTCCCGTCTTTTACTATGTCTGACTCTTTTTCTCTGCAAAAGAAAACCAAGGCCCAGAGCCTCCCTCCTTCCTGTCTTCACACACTCCACCTGTTGCTGCTGTTTTAATTCTCTGATTTGGTACGGTTTAGAAACGCGTGTGAGGGAAAGAAGACGTTGAAGGAGAAACTCGTTACTTTCTATAACTCAGCCAGTTGCAGCAAATTTCGTTCTTATTTCTACCTCTCTGCCTTCGCATGAGGTCCTCAGCTGTTACTCTCAGAATCTGTGCTACACCCTGAAATCTTTTTTGGGTTTGCCACAGTAATTGTCAAAATTGTGCTCCACTGAGGGTGCCTGGGTTTTGTTTTGGGGAGCGCGCGTGCGTGTGTGTGTTTATATTTATTAAAGCCTTGAAGACCAGCTTTTTATGTGAGTTATGTGAGTTCCATTGTGACCTAAATTGTGTAACAGTTACTTGATGGCTGAGAATTTGTGGTGCTAATTGTGGTCTTTCAACAGGTGTATAAAAGGAAAACAGAAGCTGCCAAGAAGGAATACCTGAAGGCGCTGGCCGCGTACAGGGCCAGCCTCGTTTCCAAGGTACACCTGCCACGGGGCCGCCAGGCTCTGGGAGCTGCCGCGTTGAAAACCGCTCCCGAGTATAGAAAACGTAAACGCAGCTCCCCTCAGACTTGACCGAAAAAGCCTCTTGAAGAGCTCACACATTTATTTGTTTCCATTATGGATTCCTGGTGTGATGGCATGAAAAATATGATAAATTGAACTAATTTGAGCTGGTAAATCAGAATTGTTTCCAAAGGATTCACTGATTTCTAGATGTGTGTTGAAGCTCTTCAGGCAAATTTTAAATAGCCTTTTATTCTTTCTTTAAGTCAGAGGCTGAGATGTGTGCTCATGTCCTTTGCTGAAGCTGGGAGGCACGTTTGTCAGGCATTTTTGGACATCCTATCATAAATTCACCAGTGGTTAAATTATTGCAAGAGAGGAGGTTGCATTTTTGACCAAACTGTTCTACATCATATAAATAAATAAACCTCATGATTATTTAAAATAAAATTATGCTCCCAGTACTGAACGAAATGACGTGTATATGTATTATACATCGGGTACGCATGGACCCTGATGTATTATAAAATGCACCAACATCCCAAAGCAAATGCCACTCTAGATTATTATTACCTCGGTCCAAAAGGAGCCTGAGCTATTACGTTATATTATTTTAACATTTAATTAACTTTGTCTTTAGCCTTCCCAGAATTTAGAGAGGCTTTGGGGAGATTAAATTGAGCTCAGGGTTTTTATCTTCATGTATGTCCTCTGGCAGTGGGGGATTCGATTTCATTGTCATTGTTTTTACCTACAGCCCCTCTTAGGGCCTACGGGCGTGGTAGGGGTAGGTAGCAAGGCCCTTTGAAAGGCTTGATCCGATTTTTCTCTTCTGGGCAGCTGCTCAGAATGTGATTGAGAGAGCTCCCCCTGTCTTTGTCAGCTGGTGGGGCACTTTCCACTTTATTAGAAAGAGAAAACAGTCTTCAGGGCAACAGCAAAACCTTTTTCTGAGACTCTGGAAGACACTAGTTGAAAGATACGATACCAGCTATGGCCTCAGATTTGTCATTGGCAGAAAACTGAATGTGGGCTGTTGATATTCAGAATTGAGGTGTAGTTGACGGCTAATTAGATGAGTGAAGCGAATAGAGTGATCATGAGCGTGTACTTCTCCAGCGGCTCATTCATTCCTTCACTTACCAGGAGCCAGCAGAGGTGATCTCCGTGCGCTGGAGCGTGGGTTATTGACCGTGCGTGGATTTCAGCCAAGAGCCAGTAACTCAGAAGGCACTAAGGAAATGGTGGCCGTGATTGGGCTCCTCAGCTCTGTGACTGACTTAGAAGGGAAAAGTTGCACATTGGGTACTAGACACTGGATTCAGAAATATTTTTAAATGGGATTCAGTGACTCCAAAAAGTCAATAGGACAGGATGTTAAAAGAATACATCTAAATTATTGTTTGCTTGCTTATATTTTCCTCAGGTCAGGACAGTTTAAGGGCATCCTAAATTTATATTCCGAGACCTGGCGGGCGACTAAAATTGCCCTCGAGGTAAAAGTTTAGAATAATTTCACCCTGAACCACAAGTGTGAAACAGCTGCTGATATGCTTATCTCCCCTGAAGCCATGTCCACTCGTGCAGCGTGATGACCAGCCCATCTCTGAAGAACCGGTTCTGTTTTCGGACCCCAGGGTTTAGAGAGGAAAGGTGATGAGTTGACGGCCCTCCAGAGGGTTGTCTCTGTGATGAAGACTGAAAATCAAACCATGGTCAAGTAATTGAAAGAAACAGGGAAGTGAGGATTTGGGGGCGTGTGATGTGTCTTCAAATGGGAAGGCGGTCATGGGACGGAGGCCTGAGATTCACCCCTGAGCCGCAGAGAGAAGAACTCGCCCGTGGAGCGAGGTTACGGGGAGACGATTCCCGCCCCCGTGTTAGAAATTTCAAGGAGGGTTGCATGGTCTGGACATGTCACTCGTGCCTCTACATTCAGAGCTGAGGACTCACTCTTATGATGTGACTCTCTTCTGTCACTTTCAGCCTTCACAACAACCAAAAAATCAACGGGAGCTAATATGCAAGGATACCATTCGTTCAAACAGAAGCCATCAGCTATGGCTTTTCCTACACTGAGTGACTGTATCAGTGATTTTCAACCAGGGTGCACAAGAATGTTTAAACATGCAGTACCTGACTGTTTAGTCACGGGCGCTGACCCCTTTCCTTAGGCGTCAAATAGAAAAATGGCAACAGCCAACACAATAGCCATCCAGTGTGAATGGAGCAAAATTATGCTTATTTTTTGTCAGATTGGCAAAAAAATATATTTTTTGGTGTGCCACAGAATTTTAGTAATTCGCTCATGTGTGCCATGAGATGAAAGAGGTTGAAAATCGCAGATCTATGCATATAAGTACACTTCTCAGGTTCCTTCTAATAGTATATTTTATAAATCCAAGTAATAAAAGTCTAGACATCAGCCTTCACAATCATTTAAAGAGAGTGGAGATCAGCCCCATGCCTCCATGGTGCTCCCGTTACCCCTCCTCCCAAACCCTTAGCTCTGTGAAGGGTAAGAAGAGAAACAGTCTTCAAGAGAAATGATTTCAATCACTGTTCCATTAGCAAAAAATATTTTTTGACGAGGTAATTCTGGGTTTTTAGTACAAAATGTAATAGGTGGTTTCTCGCGGCATTGAGCCTAGCCTAGGTCGGTTGTTTATAAAGGTTATTCTGAGATTCTTCCCTCACCTAGGCCTGCTTTGGTAAATCCTGGAAGGCTTTGCAGATGGTTGGTAAACTAAACCATTTCTAACATTGTAAAGTACTTCAGTTTAATACCCCTGAGGAACTTGGTTATGTTGTTCTAGTCAAGTGAGCACTGTTATAAAGTAATCGTGCAAATACAGGCCTTTGATGTTTTCTGGTAGCAGGAGTTGTTAATAAGAATTTCTAACATTTACTCAGTCCTTCCCGTGGGCCAGGCACTGTGCTAAATGCTTCATACAAACCAGTTAATTTAATTCTCAGAACCTCTACACAAGGTAACTACCACACAAGCTCATTTTATAGATACAGAAACTGAGGAACAAATGGATGAATTCACTTTCTCAGACTCACAGAGTTGTTAAGTCGTAGAGGTAGATTTGTACTCAGGCCATCTGTTCTCTTGTGTGAATATTTGGTGGAGAGGTGAGCGTAGAGTTAAATACTGAAGAACTGTTGCTCTTAAGTGTGTGTATCAGTCATCTATTGCTAAAGGATGGCTGTGTAACAAGCAGCTGCAAAGCCAGTGACATAAAAAGATAAAGACTGATGCCATTAGCGGGCTGGCTCTTCAGATTGAGGGCATGGTGGGCGAGATCAGCTGGTCCTGCGTATCCTTCTGCCGTCGGTGTGGGGTGCAGGGCCGGGGGCGGGGGCTGGACTCACTGCCATACGTGGCAGTGGCTGGCTCTTGAGTAGGGAAACTGGGCCATGCGCCTGCCGTGAGCACACGGCAGTGGCAGGTCCTGAGAGGCAGTGCGTGTGGAAGGGGGCAAGGGCTCTGGAGCCCTCCCTGACGCCCCATTCTGTGGAGAGGAGCAGAGGCACAAGGCCGGCCCCAGCGAGGAGGCGCGGAATTTGATTCTATCTCTGGGACGAACTAAAAAGTCACATGACAAAGGGCTTGGGTACAGGGAAGCATGGATAATGGTGCCCATACTGAAAAACACTTAAATATTTTAACTACGTGCGCATTTTAACATTTTGGACTTTTCTTCCCACCACGCAGGCGGCGGCCGAGTCAGCGGAGGCCCAGACCATCCGCTCCGTTCAGCAGACCCTGGCGTCCACCAATCTGGCGTCCTCGCTCCTCCTCAGCCCCCCGCTGTCTCAACACGGGGCGGTGTCGGCGGCACCTCAGACTCTGCAGCAGTCGCTCCCCCGGTCCATCGCTCCCAAGCCCTTAACCATGAGACTGCCCATGAGCCAGATTGTCACGTCGGTCACCATTGCAGCCAACATGCCATCGAACATTGGCGCCCCGCTGATCAGCTCCATGGGCACGACCCTGGTGGGCTCGGCATCCTCCACCCAGGTGAGCCCTTCCGTGCAGACCCAGCAGCAGCAGCTGCAGCTGCAGCAGCAGCAGACCCAGCAGCAGCAGCTGCAGCAGATGCAGCAGCAGCAGCTCCAGCAGCACCAGATGCATCAGCAGATCCAGCAGCAGATGCAGCAGCAGCATTTTCAGCACCACATGCAGCAGCACCTGCAGCAGCAGCAGCAGCAGCTGCAGCAGCAGATCAGCCAACAGCAGCTGCAGCAGCAGCTCCAACAGCAGCTCCAGCTGCAGCAGCTGCAGCACATGCAGCACCAGTCTCAGCCTTCGCCTCGTCAGCACTCGCCCGTCGCCTCCCAGATGACATCGCCCGTCCCCGCCATCGGGAGCCCCCAGCCAGCCTCCCAGCAGCACCAGTCACAAATACAGTCCCAGACGCAGACTCAAGTGTTACCGCAGGTCAGTATTTTCTGAGGACGCCGCGGCAGGCGGCAGGCGATGGGCACTGGAGGCGAGCGGAGGGCGACCGTGTGCGGCGGGGACTCGTCGGCCGGCGTGGGTCCTGCAGAAACGCACGGGGCCGCGCGGTGTGCGCGGTGCCGGTCAGATAGGCAGAGGCCGCCGGGCGCCCCTCCGGCTGACTCTAAACCACTTCGTTTCTAAACAGGAAAAGCTGTGCTCTTTTATGTGATGCCTTTTTTATTTATTCAGGCTGTTCCTACAATATGTGAATCGAACCGGTTCATGGACCCCGGGACGCACCGAGGACTGTAAACCGGCCTCCCTGGGTCACAGGACAGGGCCTGTTTCTCCAGAAGTGACTAAACCGCACTTCCAGGCCGTGGGAACTCACGAAGGCCCCAAATTAAAAGCACAGTTGTAACTACCTGAATTATGAAGATTCCAGTTTCATACAAGCATTTGTATGACATGAATAGTTGATGGCATTTTTTTGTCATGAAAAAAAATAATGTAAATCACAGACTTTTGCCAAAGGTCTTATTTTTTTCCCCCCCTAAATATCTCCAGAAAAAAAAAAAATGCAAGTGACTAGATTCAGTTACTGACTCATTCCCACGTTTTCCCCATGACCTCTCCACGTCGACCCACCGTATGTGTCACAACACGTCTGACCACCGTTACCCATTATATTCATTCCCGTTAGGAGAAAGGAGTGTGAATATTATATTCTGTGTTTTGAGTGACAAGTTTCGAGAAAATAAAAACACTGTATTTTTAAAAGGGAAATGAACTTAAATGAGAACAGTTATTACAAAAGTTAAGATTTAAAAGAAAAGCAAGAGTTTTTATTATGACGTAATACTGGTAGAATATTTAAAAGGCGCACCACATCCAAATAATCGATGTAAATATTTTCTTTCAAAGGTGTAAGTTTTCACATCATGTGTTGTAAAGTTTTCATAAACGAGGCTTTCACGTAAACACTGGTGACAGGAACCATTCATTGCTACGTTGCTTATTGTGTTTTTACGCTGTTTTATACTTTTTTATGAGTTACGATAGCAGCAATTAAGTTGTTTGTATTTTGCTTAACTGAGACAAAAATGCTTTTATCTTGCTATAGAATAAACACGTTTCAGTAAAGACTGTGGACTGTATTTTGATGCAACAACCAGGAAACTGTTCACTTTTCAAATAAAATGATATGTCACATTTCACTTTTGGTTCCTTGAATACGTATCAGATGGGGAAATAGGCCACATACCAACTTTTATTGGAGCTCAAAATTGTCTTCCATTTTCAATGGGAAATGTGACACTGGTAGCTAAGCATGTGGATGGCATGGCCCCCAATCAGGGCCCTTAAAAACACACACACACACAAATGAAACATTGGAAATATCTTTGTGATTACCTTTTTGTTAGGTACAGAGGAAAAAGCAGTCGTCTTCTATTAGGGGCTGTAGCTGGCCGGTATCATGTTGTTATTGCTCTTAAAACCGATGGTGAAATGCTAATTCTTAAGCCAAAATAATTATTTCAGTGCCCACTCCTTCCCCCCTTTCCTTGCTCTTGACTGGCTCCTCTTTGAGAACAGTGTGACCACTATCCCCAGTTGTCTTGCATGATTAATTACAGCATCTGTCGTGTCAGAAGCTATAATGAAGAGGTCTTGATAAAAATTGCAAATTACCACTGGCAACAGTCTTAAACTGCTTATGATAAAATGAAAATTAAAAACAGCAAGTGTCAACCCTGACCAGAACCCTCATCTGAAAAAAAGAACAGAAGCGAGGGTGTGAGTAGTAGTTCCATAGTTACCGTGTGTGAGGCACTCAAAAATAATGGACTGTGGATGCCTCGAAGTTGTTGCATTTCAAAGAATATTTACTGTATGTTGTGGGCTATGAATAATGAATTCAGCTTTCAATATTTCATAATCCTCTCGTACTCTGTAGCATGTACAAATATTGAACAGCAAGAGATTCTAATTATAAATTTATAGATTTCTTGCTGTAGAAAAATTTATGTCTAAATTGAAGCTTTTCATAAGATGCATTAGTTGACAGGTATCAGTGTTCAAACAGCCTTCGAATGATGCCTAATCTCATCTACAAGGGGGCAATTGTATTCCACAAAGAAGCGATCTGCTTGCATCAGACCCATCAGAAACAGAGCTGATGGTAAAAGATTTTCTGTGCATTGAAAATAACATTACATAACAATAAGAGCCATTTTACATTCTGTTGTGAAATCTTTAGACAAATGTCTTCAAAATTAATTGCTAGACTGCATGTGACAGTAATTGTATATTAGTTCTGTAATTGTCATTTTGAAAACCCATGAAGTATTGCTTGGGAAAAAAATGTCACTAGTGATAAGACTTAATTGCCAGTGAAGTCTGTTTTCAACTGTTTGCAGTTAGAAGCAGGTGTTGTAACATCTATTAAATGATTTTATAAATCTTGGGTTTTATCACATTTGATTAAATGCTGCTAAGCCACCGATGGTCAATTTCAAGGAAAAGATAGTTCAGTTCCTACAGTTTCAAAAATTAATCACCAGGCAAAACTATATATTATAAAACATCCAAAGACTTGCATCAAGAAAAGAATTCCCCCGAATTTGGTACCAAATTATTTTTCTCAGGATTTGCTAAGAATATTGTGAATGAACTTGTATTTCAATGTATACATGGGTTTCTGGTGCCTTTTCCAGCGAGTGCTTGGTGTGCTTGTTTTTGTTACAGGCCAGAAGTAAATCGGGGAATGGAACGTGGGCATGAGAAACGTGGTATCTGTTAGCGGGGCGCCTGACCCACCGCCGTGCCTCCCCCCCGAGTGGCCTACAGGCCTTAGCAAGGCTCCCCCCACCCATCCACTCGCCTTTCTCCCCCGGCTCCTGCTGGCTAAACACGTCCTCCGTGCGTTAACCTGTATGCCGTGTGCTGAAATAGCATACGGAGTTTTCATTTGTAGCTGACACGGGGTCATCGGTTCCCGGTCCAAGAACAAAAGCCTGAATGCCTTTGTGCGGCCTAGTTCCTGCGCTGCGACCACCTGACGGAGGTTCGGAGGCTTCTGGACAAGTGGCTTCATAGCTCAAGTTTAAGTAGGAGTCCTCCACCCGCGCTCAGCCGGCTGCAGGCCTCTGAATGGTCTCTTTCCCCTTTCTCACTTCCCCGAGCGTTTTTTTCAGCACTGGACTTCAATCTAACCTTTCCTTCCCCCCCACCCTCTTTGTTTGGCTTTTGTTTTGCAACAGCTGTTATTATCGTTTTTTGGTCAGCTGTGATTGCTGGAGGCAAAATAGGACCAGATGGTGTTTTGCTATGCATGAATGGGGACTTAGAGGAGTCGGGATTGAATAGGCCGAGCCTGAATGGTGTCTATGCACCACCTGCCTGCCTGGGCTGTGGCACACACATCACAGGAGCAGATCCGCCTCAGACCTACTAGCATCGGATGGGAAAGTGGGGAGCCGGGTGGCTTTTCCCCATATTTATTGATCTTCCATGCACTAGCCGAATAATGCAGTGTGCAGTCAATTTGAGTTAATTGGATATGACACAGCTTGGGCATGCCGTCTTTCACTCTAGAATTCTGGTTTGCTTTAAGGATTTCATTTTCTCCAGAGTAGACACACACATGCACACGCACCCATACGTGCCCGCGCGCACATTAACCGCAAAATTACTGGGCTAAGTGGGCACACGTTTAAAAAGTGTCTGACACAGTAGACTAAGAGAATGAGGCTGAGGTGTTAGGGAGCTGAGGACCTGGCGATGGTGTTTGTATCAGTTAATAATAGAAGGTAAAGAAAAGCTAATTCTGAGCTGGAGAGGGCCCTCGCGGTTGTAGATCGTCCATCAGATCCTGCACGTTTATAAGAAATGTGCCGTACTGGGAACATCACACAGATACGCAACCAGGTTAGAATCAGCTTAGGAAATATTCTTAACTGAATACATTCTTCTACTCCTTCAAATACAGTTAGCGTTGCCCACTATCTGAAGTTACCTTGGGCACAAACACTCCTCTGGGTTTTGAGGCTGGTGAATGGGTTTAACCCACGTCGATTGTGATCCTACAGGTGTGTGGGTGGCGGTGCCCCAGCGTGTTACTGAGGAAGAGCTTAACCGTCCAGGAAATGTGGTGTTAGATATGCAGACAGACAGCTCCATTTGCCTAAGGCCCTAATTACTTAAATTTACTTCTGCTACATGCAAAACACTATGATAGGTCCTAAAGGAGCTGCAGACGTAAACACGACCTTCTGTTTACTTTGTATGTGTTTGAAAATTTCCATCATGGAAGCTCAAGAACAACATCAGGAGGCCTCCTTAAGTTAAGAGCCTTAATTATTTTTATTTTTATTGCAGTGGGTACATGTACTCACAGATAGAATGATCCATGTGCCAACAAAAGACTTGAAACAAATGGGGGTGGTTGTGCTTTTTCTAAAAAAATCTGAGAAAATTAAAATTTATTTGGAAAGGGAAGAGATTGCAATTGCGTAGGGGTGTTGGGGAAGCTGCATGGAATTCCTGGCACGACGTGCCCTGAGGGTTGGGTGGGATTTCGGTAGGCGGTGAAGTCATATCTTGGTAGAAGTGGGAACTGTCTCCAGACAGGGCAGAGCAGGAGAAAGAACGTTCGTGTTGAAAGTACAGGCACCTCCCAGACACCAGTGGAGAACACAGCAAACTGGACACGGTGCTTTGGGGGAGGTGAGCAGAGGAAGGTGTTAGGAAGTTTGGGGTCTTGCATGCTTGGCTGGGGACTTGTGCTTAACCAAAGCCACTGGAGGTGTCTGAGTAAGGAAGGGATGGCCGGGCTTGAGGGAATGCATAAAGGATTTTAACTTACTTTCAAGGGAGGCTCCCGCTGGCACGAAAAGCTGAAAGAAAACTGGAACAAGATTCCCATTTGAAAATGTGTCCAGTTTAATTACTCACACGCATAAATAAAGCTTTCGCTTCATGCTCACTCTCACCACTGCCGCCTTCCTGGTGCAAGAACACGCCACCGACAAAGCCAAATCAAGGCACTTTTTGGTGCCAACTGTAGAATAAGCCTTATCCTTACATTAGTGTCGCGAGGGAGCTCATTTTCTGTGTTTCTGCTGTGAAAAGAAGGCTATTTTCACCACTGGTAAAAAGCACCTCTTGGTGCTTGAACTCAGACGAGATGGGTGATGAAAGAAGCCCTTGCTTTGTTGCTGAGTAAAACCTCAGGCAGCACTGGGAGGGATGTTGGTTATGGTCTCAATTTAATTTCAAAGAAGAACCTTCACAGATAGAAAACGTGCACGTGGATGTACACTTCCGAGCACAGGAATAATGCTCTTTTGTAAAACACCTCATTACCCCTCCAGTTTGTGCAGCGCCTGCCTTTTTCCAAGCCTTTCTCTGGGTGACCTCATTGAGTCCCCTCTCTAGACAGGCCAGTAGTTAACCTCGCGTAACAAATGAGGCAACAGGCCCAGAGGCAGCTGTGACTTGTTCCAGTATCTCTGCTTGTCAGAGGCACAGTCAGACCTGGAATGGGAACTTTCCCATTCGAGGTCTCCTGGGACGTCATTGACCCAAAATTTGTGTATGTATGACATACATACTTGAAATATTTATATCTGTCCCACATTTGTACATAGGATGTGTAAATAAATATGTGTGTGGAACAGGTAGATGACAGATACAAATATGTGACAGGAGCCCATTACAGCACCAAAGAGAATCATTAATCCATGTTTTCCTCATGGCTAGTCAGGCAGTTCACCAGAGTGAATGCCACCTCGCCCACGTGTTCAAGGGGCATAATGCCACATGGCACTTCTTTTTGGTGTGAATTCTTTCCAGCCCGATTGTCTCTCTAACAGGGCCTCTCTGTAATTACTATGTATTCAGGCAAACAGCTTTGACTTGTGTTCGACTCGTAGGACTGCAGGTGCCACAAAAGTGCCAAAGCATCTTATTGCTCTACATGTTTAAAAAGAAAAGGCTGGTTTTAAGGAAGAGTGAGATGTGTAGGTGTCGGGGAGGTGTGCCTCGTTTGCACGATCTGAGGAATCCGGTGAATGGGTCCTGAGTGCAGGAGATCGGTGACAGCATGGGGCACGCGTCTCCCTAAGGGGTTACACAGTAGTGACCCTGGTTCTGCTTCCCGAGTTCCCCTCCGTCTCCAAGACCACCCCCCGCTCGCTAACGGGGCTGCGCTCTA